ATTCGTGACTCCGAATACGTAGGCATTGAAGGTAACCGTCATCAATTTGAGCTGGGCCAATGACCCAATGTTGAGAGAACGAGCTTTATGGGCCGACCGGCGTGCACACGTCACGCGATAAGGCAGAGTGAGTTTTGGCCTCATTATCGGGCTATCTTCCTAACGTCCGCTCGATAATCCATAAATGTTCTGCTCACAATGATTTACGAGCATTTAAATCTTCTTTTTAGCATCGCTATGTAAACAGAACATCCGCAATGAATAAACACTGACGATTATTTAAGAACTACTTGTTTTATAAACTTACTAAAATGCAATATGCCATACGGGAAATTTCTGAGTGTTAAGACGCAAGTATGAAAAATAGTCAAAAGATAACTTATTTCATCGTTAAAAGTGAGTCATAAAACGGAAAGAGGTAGTTTATATTATACTGAATGTATACTGCGAGAATAAGCGAAGCTTTGCAAAAAAAAAAAATTAAATAGAATTTCATACATGTAAATAAAATATTCGTGGTATTTACTGCATCAACTGAAGTTTAACGCCTTGGAAACAGAAAAGCGTGGTAAATATTATTATAAAATAACAATAAAATTAAAACCGTACTCTGTTATTTCTCTCAAAACTTAATCATTAGGGGAGTTAATTTGCCATATTTTAAAATATTAATTCGTAGAGAAATTCTGTCAATCAGCTGAAAGAACAACTACAACAGTCTTTTGATAAAGATCTTATTTCAAGTTCATTTGAATATTAGAGCTCTATCGATCTCTGGCACTGCAAGCTCAGAAGATACTGATGGACGAATTCTATTTGATCACACGTTACCGCGAAGAAGCACGTGCCCGCAAAGAATATAACACAACTTAAACCGGACTCGAGGAGGCGGACTGGTATTCACTCACGTTTCAACCGCATTCGGACGGCAGGGTCGAGTTACTGTGGTGTGACGCACACAATACGGGGAATAAGACGCAATTCCACACAGTGTCCGTTTGCAAGACAAGGATAAAGTTATATCTGAAGGAGAAAAACCCGGCCTGTTGGCAAACGCTTGATTGCGTCTATGTCTATTGTGTCAGTGCCCTACTTGTTTTCTACCTCCAGGGTCGTGTGTTTGCTCTGCACTGATGCAAATATGCATAAAAAGGTTCCTACTTACAGTTAATTTGTGGAAACGACAACGAAATATAATGACGACACATTCGGAAAAGGTTATGGAGTGTGAATGATGCAACTGAAGTAGAACATGTGTTGAGATATACTTATGTGGCACTGGCAGGAATCTTTGATAAACAAATTGAAAGTTTTTTGAAGGACAGATTGGTGAAAATTGTCCGAATAAAATACGTTAAAAAAGTGGAGGAAGTACAGGGTCGTTATTTTACAGTTTTTGGTTTTCAAATAACACTTTTTTCAGTGGATGATCCAAGCAGTGACTATTAATAAAAATTGTGTTTAGTGTGTGCAGGAAGTGTAACATAGCTTTTTTATTCTTTCCCGTTTATTTCACTTTCATTATTGAAAAACTAACTTGTTATTACCATCTGTGATTTCTAATTTGTTCTAAAATTATACTTTTTGAATTCTTCCCAAACCCTCTACAATCTTGTGCATAGAGAAACATTTCAGATTAAATTTCTGCATGTAGATTAATTTATGTAAAAATTGTGAGAAAAGAGTATCCCATTACTACCAACTCAACATGTACCATTTTCACAAAGTGAAAACAACGGTAGCAACTTAGGCATCCTGGCGCGCTCTGCACCTCTGTTTCTGCAATTACTCACACTTTCTCAGAATAGCATTTCTTGGCAGGTTAAATCCTAGTTCCCAGATGTACAGGCGACATACATTCACTGCTGCACCACCATTCGAATTCTCACCACAGGAAACCACAAGTGTTCAACGATTGTTATTCCTCATTAAATTCATCAACAAAACAGTGCCAGATAGCAGAGCTGGCAGTACATAAACAAGGCAATTTCTTCACAAGCACTTTGACGAGAATATTCGTGTTTACTAAATGCCGCCGGGCGGTTCCACTTAGTGAATTATAATTCCTGACGCGGGAAGATTGAGGTTATTAATTTAGTAAATTAGCGCATGTATTGTCCTGGGAGTCAGTGCTTCTCTTCCGCTGCAACATGAGATACGACGGCGAACTACACGACTGCATGTGAGCTTATTCGCCCCATCTGATATCCTCCACAGCGGGGTACCGCCCGAGCCTGGTCCAGCGCTAAGCTTCCAGCTAGTTCTTTGAAATGTGTGGTAGTGTAGTGCATGTAAGTGTAATTGTGTTTAAGAGGAAAGGAGAGACAAGGATGAGGAAGGTAGCGCGCGGTCCGTTTGAACTGTACCTTTTCGTTATTCGCCTACTATTGGTCAGAGAAACCACGCAAATACAGATAAGAGCCACCAGCCGCTAGAATTATCCTTCAGGCCGAGGCTAAAACCGACCCAGCTACAAACCTGGTATCAAAAATCCGCTACCGTCGGGACTCGAACCCTCGGAACTCCCGGTCAAAGATGCTGCAGCGGAGTTAACGATGTTGCCTCCAGTCACTTCTCGGAAGCGCGAGTCAATCTCCCCAATTGACTCATCACTCACGCAGCTGCCGAATTGAGATTCCCGGCAAGGCGCCGCGCCGGCAGCTCCGCGCGCGGCTGCCAGCGCCGGTTCCTAGTTTCATCAACGTCAGCGGAGGAGCCGCCCCCGACCCGTACACGCACGGGCTACGCTTTCCGAATGAAATGGGCGGAGTGCGATTGAATTCCCTTCGCCGGAACGAGGGCCCGTGTGAAATTTCGATACCTCATCCATGACGATTCTCTTTTTATTCAGAGTTTCTGTCGTAATTTTCCTGCAGTTATGTTTTCAGTTTCTCCAGGTAATCAATTGTTTCTGTAACTTTCCAAATTTATTCCACTAGTGAATTATATTCGTAACATCTGAATAGAATTACATATTTTCTGAACTATGGCCATGATTGAACAAATCTGCCTCTTATCTTCAATGCATGGTCAAATCTGAGGTGAAATTTTCAATGGAGGCAACTTCCCAGATGTCACGCATTGGTCTTCAATCATATAATTATTCTATTACTACTTACTTGGATGCATACTGTTTTAAACCATTCCCATTCCCGAGCATTGCTTACCTTAAAATTCTCACCAACGACAGGACGACTCCCAATCACCAGTTACCAACACTTTACTCGACACGTATCACCCACATCGAAGCACTGTACGAGTCCACACGCAAAAAGTCGGCATCTGCGTCTGGCAAGAACTGGCGGGCAACTAGTTGCAGCGGCCTTGGGTTGTGACAGGGCGCGCATGCGATCAAGGCTCCCACTGCTGTCTCCCGGGCGGAAAGGCAGGACGCAAGGCGGACACGGTGCGGTGCGGCGCGTGCGCGGCGGGGCGCGAGGCGGCGCGCGGGTTACTAGCGAGACGGCGGGCGGCGGCGACGGGCGGCAGAAGGCGCGACGACCCCCGAGGTCCGCGGTCTTGCGGACGGCGCCGCCCCGCGTCATTAGGCGCTAACCCATGAGACTGCGACACGCGCGCGGCGCGTGCCTTAAGTCGTCCTCGCGAGTGACATTGTCAACCCGATGGAAGAGGCGCGACGCGGGGCGCACCGCGATGGCGCCAGTGATTGCCATTAAGAGGATAAGACGATGACTGATGCGCAATGCGTCAGCAACGGGAGTATGGTACTTCCCGGAAGAGAGTGTATCAAAATTGATGAATCGCACGTGGCCACGTGGCCGTATAGCATGTCTATTCCGCGGAGGTGCGGGCGGGAGCGAGGCTGAGGGCTCTGGGATGGTGCTAGACGTCGTGGTCTTCGATAGGGGAGGGGGTGGTGAGGCGGGACGGGCAGAGCCCGGCAGCCCGGGTGGTGCCAAAAGCCAAGTGGATACGCACGGATGGTCTGACGCTCAACCATTGGCACGCGCCGACCACCGACCGCCAACGCGCAGGTTGTTGGCTCTTCAAATTAGACGAGTGACTGTAGGCGTCTGGGTATAAAATCAGAGGGAATGCGACTACATTACATACATTTCATAGCCTAAATAAACGCATTCGCGTTGCCAGTGTTTTTCTTTCAAGACTCAATAGAAAAGCTGAAAATCGTAAATATTATTGAAACTGAAAATAAATAACGAATTACAGCGAATCCCTTTCAATCAACACGTCTATAATCATGTAAACGTCTCCAATCTCTGGAATACTAATTACAAAGTACGCAAAGTTTCATAATTCAAATTATTCATCTAGAGAAAATAGCCGCTGAGTAATAACAGAAGATTTCTATGGTAATTCAGACAACAATCATAAGGCGTGCATCGTAGGGAGAATAATGCACAATCCATCGACGGAGATCTTGATCGAGACGCGGCCCGAGCCAAGCAACATCCTCATACACACAACACAACGACGCTGCATGCCACCATTTTTGCGATTCAGCGCCACGGCGGAGAAATTGAGCAATTCGTCGTGATTCGTCATCGTCCGGCAAACGACTATTAGGCCGCGCTGACGTAACGGGCGGGCGGCGGGCGGCGGACGGACGGACCGGACGGACGGCGGGCGGACGGAGACAGGAGGAGACGGACGCAGACGCAGACGACGGCGAGGGCGGGCGAACGGGCGGGCGGCAGACGGGCGGGCGGGCAGAAGGGCGGGCGGCGGCGGGCGGGCGGGCGGGCGGGCGGCGGCGGGCGGGCGGGCGGGGCGGGCGGGCGGGCGGCGGGGCGGGCGGGCGGGCGGGGGCGGGCGGGGGGCCGGCGACGGACGGACGGGCGGACGGGCGGACGGAGCGGACGGGCGGACGGCGAGGGCGCGGGACGGGGGCGGCGGGCGGGCGGACGGGCGGGCGGGCCGGCAGGGCGGGCAGGGCGGCGGGGCGGCGGCGGGCGGGCGCGGGCCGGGCGGGCGGGCTGAGGCGGGGCTGGGCGGCGGGCCGGACGAGCAAGGAGGGTCGGCCGCGCCAAGCGAGCGCGGCACGCGGAGGCTGAATCCATTGCGGCCGAATGAGGAAGCGCCGCCCGCGCCTGGGGTCGAACTCATGGTCCTCGAATTCGACCGCACCGGGCGAGGGAGTGCGTGGCTGGGGAATGTTCACTGCGAGAAGTGGACGATGACGAGATGCGGGAAGTAATCCCAGTTCTAATTGGTTACAATTTGACGGGATAAATGAAGAATGAGGCCAATGTAAGTTTTTCGCTGTGGTGGTCGTTAATAGAATAGTGAGCGATCTAAAAAGTTCGTTGGTGATAAGATATCATCTTCCCTAGCACAGTTCTATTCCAATGAGCGCTTTTAATGTAATTTATGTAACAAATACAACATTAGTAAAAACGGAGTATTATTATTATTAATATTATTATTATTAATATTATTAATATTATTAATATTATCATTATCATCATCATCATCATCATCATCATTGAAAGTAATGGTTAATAAAAATACGAGAAAAAATTAAACCAATTTGTTGAAAAAATTGAATTTAAAACTGAACATTTTAGTATAATTTAATGAAATTTTGCTGTAATTTCACCGTTCAATAATAGTGTTGTCTAGTTTTATGAAAAGTATAATTCTTTGCTTGAAAATAATTTGTACTTTTTTTAATTCATTAAATAGTTTTAAATATTATTGAATAGTTTACTTTTATTATTTTTACGTCTTTTTCAGAGTACATACTTCAAGGTGACCTATTTTCGAACCTCAAAAATGTGTACTGGAGTTGGCTCCCCTGCTGTCGCTAAAACGATAGTTGCCCTTGTATGTTGCGTGTGCAAGATGTCTTCCGACTGAGTGCCGAATGTAATTATATATCTTATGTTCATTTAACAGCTTTTACACTGCAATCATGAATATTTAATCACACATTTGTCATAACCGAAGACTGAACATTCATTCTTCTCGAATATATTAAAGCACTTTGTATAAAAATTCAAAAACATGATGTCAAAATTGGCAATATCTTTGAACTGTCTCTTCTTGTTGAATAATATTAGATTGTCGTAGGGAAACTGTTTGCTAATTATTACTGAAGGAAGAATCCAAATTCAAACAATATATTTCCTGGCGTGGCGCCAAACGTCTAAACAATACGATAAGAATCTCATTCATGCCAAAAACTTAAAGAAAAGTGATAAAATTCTCAAACTTTTCGGGGGGTTATTTTATTAACTGAAAGAAAGACAATACATCCGTGAAACAAAGCACGTAGTGAAAATCCTACTAGAGTCACTTACAGATGACTTGCGGAACAGAGTGTAACAGGAGTTCATGCATAAGCATAAAGTTTCATTGCCGAAATATTCGATGGCGAACATTAGAAGATAATATCATGTATCACATACCATCGTAATACGTGACGTACAAAAGACGCAGGGGTTTTGTTACCTCGTTCCCAGCATGTATTTTCCCGGAATTGGTTGAAGAAACATGAGAACGCGTCAAGAACAGAATATCTACAAAGAGATGGTTTATTAAAAATTTCTGGTCGGAATAGAACTCTCTCCTACATCTAAATTTATCATTCTTCTGAAATGCTTTACACACTTCAAAACTTATATTTATATATTTAGAAATAAAAATCCTAAATCCACTTATAAAATCGAAATTCTTGCGCGATGTAGCATCCTTTCAACAGTAATTCCCCCAAACTCACATTTTCTGGAACACAATAAAAACAAATATATAATGCCTAGCTTCAATTGATTTATAAAATGTGGGCAATAATTTTCCCTTCGTTGTTATATGTACAGGCATGGGCAGATTCATTAAACAGATAAAGATAATTAGAAACCCATTGAAGTTTTAGGTAACGTCCATATTTATAAATCTCAATTACGCCTAACAAATTTATATGCATCGTCTAGATAACACAAGATGTAAGATACTACAACGAACAGACATCAGAAAAACCGAAATGGCTGGAAATAAAATCTTCGATTAGCACCAACGTTGCCGTTTCAAATATGACAACACAATTGTTTTGTCCTTAAACCATAATATTACGAAGCGCAACATGTTCCATTATGAATCCTAACCATTTTTAACACAAGGCGTTTCTTCCCTTTCCCCCACTAGCGCGTGATCACGTTGGGTGAGGTCGTGGTTGACGAGGTGGGGGCGGGTGGCGCGACGTCACGGGGCAGACGCCTCGTCCAGAGGCGAGAGGCGAGGCGAGTGTGCCCGCCTTCCCATCGCGGCCGAGCGGCGCGGCGCGGCGCTGTACCGCGGCGAAGTCGCGTCTATTGGACGCTTCCTCATTACGGCGCTGGCGGCGAGCCGAGCGCCGCACCGCCGCCGACGCAGCCCACGGCCCACGGACCTCCGCTCGGCCTCCACCACCGCCGCCCTCGGACGAGGCGCGCCAATCCACATCGCATTGCTATTCCACTGTCGTAATGCCAACCCGTTTCAAGGAGCTGGACGAGGACTTTTGTAGGATATTAAGTTCACTCCGATAAAATCACGAATTGGTGTTGCTGGCGTTAATAGCACTTAATAGGTTTCAACTGTATTAATATAATTGAATTAGACGCGCTGTCAAACTGATTTACAATTTGAGTCATGTCAGAATGTTCCTAATAGTCCGAGAGGCAATACATACAAAAGATATACGAAGTTCCTAACTGACAGAAATGTATTACGTAAAACACTTTCCAATATTTAATAAAATATTGTCATTCTAACAACAATTTGGAAGAAATATTCCCGTATAATTAGTAGAGAAACTGAGTAAGTGGTAAGAGAAACTGGAGATAATTTTACGGAATATCCATATTTTCATTATACGTACAAACATTCGTGCAGGCATTATTGTACGCATTTATTCGTGGATATAATTTTTGTAAATACGGTTTAAGCGTAAAAAATATGTAGTTTACGGACAGATCTTTGAATAAACATATATTACACCAATGCCAATTCAGTAATGTTTAGAAATTAGAATAGAAACAAATATTCTACCAAACTTCAAACTTTGGTGGCACTGATTATTCGCTCTAAAAATGTGTATTTTTCATTTTTGTCATGTTAAAAAATGAGGGGAGCGGATCAGAGAATCGTGTCGATCTTTTCAAGTAACTACTATCATATGCGTATTTAATAGTGCGTTTCTTAATTTTCCCAGCATCATGTATTATTATGCTACTTCGACATTATATACCCGTTAGGTATGAAGGTAATAGGTATTTAACAGTTAAGTATTATACACATTTGTTGCCCAGTTATTTGGATTCGAAATAATATACATGGTGTATGTGTGTGTGCTCGCGTGTGTGTGTGTGTGTGTTGTATTTCATGCAATATGTTTGAAAAATGGTCATGATCGGAATATTTCTGACTTATCATTGAGACTTGGTCAATTCAACTAAAATCTTAAATCACTTAACTGTAGGAAAACAATAACAATGCCGCTGTTAAAGTCGTATGGCCACCTGTTCATTTAATAACACTCAAACGTACTTTGAAATTAATTATACGTTTGGTAAATTTCGAATCCAAATAACTGGGCAACAAATGTGTATAATATCTAACAACTAAATGATTTGGAACGTGTCGATTATTTATTGTGCTAATTTTTCGAATTTAACAACGGTGAAAAAAAATCTTGTTTTCATTAATTAGTACCCATATTTGAGTAAAATTCAAAGTTTTGTATAATCATTTCTTCATAAATTTTAGATATTATTTGTTACACATTCCAAGAATTGTATTCTCAATCAGGAGATCTGAATAACAAGCAACTAACATTTAGAACAACGTACATCAATTCCGTTCATAGTGAAGACACTCGGCAGTCGGAACTTCTGAATGAAACTGATAGGGCAGTTTACAGGTCACGCATCGGCACCTTTGACAGCGCATTCCGCGCGAGTTATCACTAACCCCGCTCCATCGAATCCCCATCCTCGCGTTCAAAGCAGCGCGCATTGGGGCAAGATCTCAAAGAGCTGGCCAAAAGGCGAAAAAAAAAAGTTTTATTTAGGGAAATTTAAATCAGCAGCTCTGTAGACACGTTCCCAGTGTCTAATTCTACGGTTAGAAAAGGACCGAAGCGTCACAGAGACGATCTACATTACTGGATACGTGGCTGTTGAACACGCGGCTATTTTTGGTTTTGAGAAATTTTCTTTATTGGAAATGGACGAAATTGTGATGATGAGTACAATGTATTACAAATATTTAGAAAACAGTTAAAATTATTTAATTAATAATTAATGCTTTAACAAAATGATACAATCAATTTGTTGTTTTTAAGTGGAAAGAGTTATAAGTTCTACAACGAAATTTGTAAAACTAATAACATTATTTAGCTATTTAAATGTCATAAAAAGAAGATGAAGAAGAAGAAGAAAAAGAAGAAAAAGAAGACGTTTGACGTTTTGTCATTTGAATCGTAATACGTGCCGAAAAACTATTGTATACAATAAAGTTTCATTAAAGTTGGTTAACCTTCTCATATTTTGGCCTGCTTTTTGAGATCGTGCCCCAATGTGCGGCGCATCTCCAGCTCAGCGCCGCCGCCGCAGCCGCCGCGCCGCCCGCCTTGGCGCGCGTGCCTTGAACCGAGTGATAGACGCGCTCTGTCGGCGACCGATTGCGGCTATCGGCACGCGGTGGAGGAATTGACGAAAACCGCCACGTCCCCTTGCGCAACCCATTCAAAAACGTAGACGCCCTATCGAGAGGTCCGGCTGGCGAGGTTATCGCCTTGCACATCCCGTCAACTGCCCCCGCGTTGGGAGAGGCACTTGTCACGCGATGAGACATCTCGCGAAGAGGCAGGCGGTCTCAAGGAGTATTTGGACGGAGAAAAGATTCAGATCTGTCGCCTTGACGGACGCTAGGTGGTTAAACGTATTTCGCTTAAAATTAAATAAAAGCGACAATATACAATCCCTTCTTAATCGATATTAGATGCAAAAGCATTTAAAATTACTCTGAAAATGAGTACACTTCGGAAATTTATTACCATCAATGTGTTACATTATTTCACCATCTGCATGTTCCAATTACAACCCAGTAAAGTAGCTCTGTACCTCTCATTGCTTCCTACCTAGAATATTATGTACTATTGTATGGCAATGTTATTTGTCTTTAAAATATGCGTAATGAAATAGGTATCGTTTCCAAATCTAATTTATCGGTGATATTCTCAAATATGGTTTCGCCTTTTTTCTTTTAAATTTCGGAACGGATAGAATGTAATCGAGAATGGTATTATATAAATGCCACTTTCACTTCAACTTCTGAGTTTAAAAAAAAAGTACAAGGCATTTTTTCAGACCTTCCGTGCCTTGTTGCCAGTTTGCATTACAATTACTTTCCATAATACGACCCATTTCTAACAAAAGATTTTAAAATTCGCTAATGAATTTTCCCAACCTCTTAAATTTTTGTGTATAGGTGAAAAAAATACTTATTTTTCAAGTAGTGCACAAATGACATTAATTCAAAAACGATTTCAATATTTTTTCAAAAACGTTCATACGAAACAAGGTTTTGTTCTCCTATAATTCGATCGTGTCATTTTGTTACAAAAATTTTAGTATTATTAGGTTCGAACAATTAAGAAAACATGAAAAATGGGTTCTAATTAACGTACGTAGTTTACAACATATTAACAATACGTAGTTTAATGACAAATTATCCATTGAGTTGAATGAACATTTCTCTAAATCTCGTGTTTTACAATATTTGTTTAGGTAACAATTTTTTGTTTCCGCATTCTCAGGAAAATTATTAAATATGCGAATGTGAGCTAAAATATTTTAAAGTAAATGAATTTTCAACCATAGTTATTAGGCAACTATTTAGGTTAAATTTCTCATTTATTAGTGAATCAGTGTTCACAAACGCAGTTTTGACAATATACGTCAGGCACGTCAAACCACGCACGCATGAGCTGAATAGTGGCTTCATACGAAAATATGATTGCGAGATTTTTTCTACCAAATAACCGAGAATTGTATAAATTTATATTCTTCACTACTTATTAATATTTGATTTTTTTTCTTACTAAATTCCCCCTTTTATAAATATATTGGCTAAGTGACAGGAATATGTTCTAATGGCGCATTCTTTCCTGGTTTCGTTTTGTGTTGTCATTCAACCATTCAGTTATTTATTGTATTTAGTAATAACGTGAAATAAACTATAAAGTCTCTATAAGTTAACAATTATCGCTTACACGGACAGAACCTTTAACAGACTAGAATATTTTTCTCTAAAACCTTCTAACCTGAACGTAGATAGTTCAAGCTTTTAACACTTAAGTAAATAGGATTACAAAATCAAGATACTTTACATAAACAGTTTTAAACTCTTACTTTCAATTGAGGATTGGAAATCAGACTGATGTATTTCATTTTAATTTATCATATGTTTGCCTTAAAGGGAAAATAGGAATTGATAAAGATAAATGTGTGATAACAACTGTCAAACAACTTCCCGTAGCTTTTATACAACCATTACTTTTAAATCTAGCGCCAATTTCTCTGGACGCAGCGCCCACGAACTCTAGAAAGCTTCTTACCTTTCCCGCGAACTTGACACCCCTAATATATGTGGTGAAGGGTTCAAATGAATTTCTGACATAGGTGTTAGAGTGTATTAGTAACCCTTAATAGTGAGGTGTTTTTGAAGCGGTTTAATGAAAACATTGCAAGGAAGTTCTGGGAAATAATTTGAATTCGTGCATAGGTATAAATTACAAAATAATTATTATAATTTAACGTTACCATTACAAATAAATACGAGAAGATATTTTCTATATTGTAGCACCGTTAGATACATGATGGAAGTGATGAAGCTTTAATAATGCACAGCTCTCTCTAAACATGCGTGCATTCAATTGGAAATATTCGCAGAGAAAAGTTCTTTTGAGAACGTACAAGAACACACAACATTCACTCTCCAAATAAAAAGGTCTAATTGCGAACTCTACCACGTATGAACTTCAGCTGTGGCGGAAAATTATATACGGAGACCTTGAGGCAACGAGCGCAACTGCGCAGCTCGTTGCATAACCGGAAGGGGGCGCAGCATTCTCGATTATTTCAGAGACGAAACAAACCGCAAAAACGAAAACAATGCTAGAAATGCAGAAAAAATAGATAGTTTTTATTATGTTTCCCTTCATTTACTTTAAATTTATAATTTATGTATCATACAATTCTTTTGATAAATAGATGTTTGAAATTTTAAGCTTGTTCTGAACAGCCTACATTTTCTTAAGCCTGATTTTTACAGAATTGGTACCAAACAACAATAAGGAAGGAAAGAAAGAAAGGGGTATATCAAAGTGCATGATCATTCCAGTGAAAAAAGTAAATTTGTAATTAACATTTTACAGTACTTTCTGTGCAGCTCATTGAGAGCTATTATACGAGTATAAGTTGTTTGTAGTTATTAAAAGCGATAAAACGATATAGAGCAAAC